ATTTTTTTCATGTTCAATCATATATTCCTCGTTGTTTTTTTTCCTCTCTCCGTGGAATTTAATGGCAATTGCACTCGTGCATGCTCATCAATTCGCTGATAATTTTCCCGAGAACGAATAAATCATCGGTGCAAAAAGCAGGATGAATGTAATAATTAATCTGCAGGTACATTGTTAATCAAGTGCAATTCGATTAAAATTATTCAATTAAACTTTATTACTCTTCTCCATTGAAAATGATAAAATGCATGATTCATGCGACGGGGGATTGGTGGGTGGTAACGGGGGGATGTAAATTAAAAATTGGAATTTAATGGAAATGCATTCAGATTCATACTCATACAAAATTTATGTCAATACACTGGATAGACACGGACATCGTCAATTTATTCCATTTCCCCGTTTTGTTGATTCACCATGTTTTATTTCGTGATATAATAAAAAGTCATTTTAATTGAAAATTCGTGGTGAATTATTCAGCTCTTTTATAAAAATTTTTTTTATTCTGCTCGGAATTCCATTTTTTTTTATTCGACGCGTGGCTAATGAAGAGGGGTGATAACAATTCATGAGGATGTGGATTGCTTTTTATCAATTTTTAATAATTAAAATTAAAATTCAATAATTTAATAAATTCTAAATTCAATCATTTTTCTTTTTGTAATTCGTTTTTGTAATTCGCCTTAGAATTCCATAAATTTCTCCCCATGACACGAATTTAATGAGACCTGAACATCGAGAGATGATAGAAGCTCATCTGAATGTGAAATTTTTCACATTCAAAAATTTAACTTTTCTCTAATTAATTTTTTATAATTGGGAAAAAAATTAATTTCATTCTCCTTTCGGGTAAATTGAACGAAATGCCGTTATGCATGGGGAAGTAATGAAATTATTCGTTTACAGACGCCATAAAAACCCCTTCTTCAAACATAATATTAATTTTTTTCTCTTGTCTTTTTACCATCAAAACTTATTCAGCTTTTTCCGAACCAATTTGATAATTCTATTCATAATTCGATCAATTTTTCTCCAACATACGAATTTAATGAGCCCTGCATATCGAGAGATGATAGAAGCTCATCAGAATGTGGAATTTATTACATTAAAAAATTCAACTTTTCTCCAATTAATTTTTCAATAATTAGGAAAAAAAATTAATTGCATCCTCCTCTCGGCCAAATTGAGCGAAATAGCCTCATACATCGAGAAGTAATGAAATTATGCTTTGTAATAACACTCAAAAATTTCCGGAAAAATCTCTCATGAAGATTGTACTGCGCCACGAGGAACGAAAAAGCCAAAACAGCCAAAAAAAAATTGATGACATTATTCGATACGGGAGCTTGATGCTTTTACAGTCGATATAAAAACCCCTGCAACTCGAGTACTTTGTGTAAAAATATGCCCAGCGATATTGCCCGGTTCCTCATAAAAAAAAACTGAAAAAAATGTATCTGCATAACTTTTATGCCAGAAGCCCTCCCCGTCGTCGTTAAACTCTCCCCTCGCCTTTTTTTCCGTAATTTTCTCCCTCCTCACCGGGACAGGTGCCTTGTTAATTGCCATTCTTTTCCAAATATATTCATAAAACGTATCTCTCCCTCGCAGAGCCATCTCATGAAATACAATACCATTTTATGACTTCAATTATCATCGACCGTGGAGCAGTAAAAAGATATCCGAGTACTTCTGTTCGAAGTTTAAAATTGTTTTTGAAAATGTATAAATTGAATATTCACGGTGCATCGTTGCATTAAGGAATTTCACTGGGGTTGGGAAGCAATCGGATGGCCTTGGGGCGTGGGAGGGGGGATTCATTTTAAAATGACGAGGGGATGGGGGAAGACAATGTTTCTCTTACTTTTGAAAGAATCGTAAATGGAGTTGGAGTGTGTACTCTCGACTTCAATTCTGATCTTTAAATTTTTCCCTCGATTCTCGGAAATTACTTTTTGTAATGACACGAGAACTTTTGCATTTTTTATTGATTAAAATGTGAATTTTTGGGTTTTAAATTGGAGCTTTTTTAAATTAAATAAATGAATAAATTAACGAATAAATAAATGAGTGAATAAATAAATAATTTCAGACACATCTCTTCTTGTGAAAAGTACATCTCGTTATTTTTGTTTAAAAAATCTCATTTTCGTTGGAATTAGAGAACATGTTGTACATTCTATGGATTAAGTTTATCTATTTTCTTCTCCTTCGGAATGAAATTAATTCTTGTCCATTCTATTGAATAACTCCGTCAAAATTTCATCCACTTCATGCATGTCCTTTCACTCAATATTAATATTCCCTTAATTGAATTCCAAAGCGAAATTTTTCATCACTGAATTCTCCATTCGAATCCGCCATTTTTGTTTTATTCTCCCATGAAGTTGAGGAAAATAGTTAACAAACATGAGAAATTACCAATGAAAAAAAAAATAATCCAGGAGAAATAAATGGAGGACGTGGAGGCAGGAGAGAACGCTGGAAAATGAGGGGCTGAGGGAATGGGTCGAGAGGGGGAGAATTGCGAGTGAAATATGAATAATGCATTTCTCCAGTGACGCTCAACTCAGTCTTCAGTATTTGGAAAGTAGTTTTGCGGAATGTGAAGTGTCTTTGGAGAGCCCCTGGAGACTGACTAACGAAAAACTTATTCTCCATCATTTATTTTTCTTGGGATATTAAAAAAAAATCCTAACTTTTCTCCTCAGTATTTTTACTCAATTCTGGGAAACAAAGGAGAAGAATTCACTCCAGGAACTTCAGACGAGTTTAAGTGTTCGGAGATTAATTTTCATTTCTAGAGAAGAATTTATATATTTTTCATAATTTACAATCGCGTGAGTACAGCCTTAAAAAAGAGAAAACAAATTATTATACATTTTTTTAAATGCAATTGTCTAAGCCCCATTTGATCCTAGATTACAGAATATTTTGCAATGAGTTAATTAATTTAAACGAATAATTACAAACAATTTCCATTATCTATTTATTTATTAACAGGATAATTTCAATTTTTAATAAAAAAAACTCGTGATTGTAATTATTTGTTCTAATTCAATTGTTCAGGCCTCATTTGGTCCTAGATTACCAACCATTTTCCAATGATTTCATTATTTTAAATCAAGGATTATTTATTTATTTATTTATTTATTTATTAAATATAATGGAATTTCCATTGATCTTGTTCGTGATAAATCAGTCAGTGTTCTTGAAAACGTGAAAATTCCGGCAACGTTTCTTCTGAATTTTAAATCTGTTGCTTAATTTTCGCGATAGGTTTGAAAATTCAAATGCATCCGTTACTTAAATTTCAAAAAAATTCTAGGAGTGCACCTACTATTCATCCCTTAAAATGAATGTTTGAATTATTTTCGAATGCAATATACTTCCGATAATCCTCCGTAAATGAATTTCCAAATTAGATGACAATAAAAGGCACTTGTATTCTGAAATCCCTTGGCCATCGATACAATCACGAATAATCTTGCGGATTACAAGAGACTCAGCAGTTTGACCCCGCCTCGAGTTTCCGACAAGATGAATCGCCGGTTCCGACGGCACCACCAGCAACAGCCCCTGGCACACCAACATTACCCTCTCGTCCACCCCCCGACTGCACACACCAGCACATGCACCGAGTTACCGCACGTATCCCCAGTGTCGAGGAGCGTAAGCTGAGAGAGCCCACCCCAGGGGCTTTAACCACTCGCCTCCTAAGTAGGTCTGGTTCAAGGTCTCGATCCTACGGTCAAGCTGAAAAAGGTTAAAGCGAATCATCCGAAATAGCCGTTCCACTTCCCCCATTTTCTAGTCCAAAAGGAACGACACTATCAATGACAAATGACGAGTTAAATTCACCACTGGAGTGCATCACAGAGGATCACTATTTTTACTTATCGATGCGCTCTACAAAGCAATGAGTGGTTATTAGAGGCACACACGTAGATATTGTGCATTGTGTACTAGTGTCTAATGAAGCGTGTAGTTAAATTAACCGTCTTTAGTTACCACAAACGGGGAGAATTCTCCCGTGGTTATGGAGATGTTATATTCACACCACTGCACGACAAAGCCCTCTTTGCGTTAAGTGAAGGGCAATTTTCAACTGAGTAAACAGACGAGACAGCTCGGATACATCGGGAATTATACGAGGACAAAGGGGTGGGTGAAAAAATCAGGTAAACAAAAATATGGGGAAATTTTTCAGTTCGAATGCCGCAATAGTAGAATATTTTTGGCGGAGTTGTCGGCATAATTTTTGGAAATTGTTATCTGGTGACAGCTCCACTGAAATTTCAAGGAATTTCGCCATTGAAAATTTATGATTTGATGATGAATGAAATTCAATCATTCTCAAATTTTTAAGGAATTCAAAATTCAGCGTATTTTTGAGGGCTTCTGTTTTCTTGCTGCTCAAAAATTTGGAATATCATTGAATATTTTGTGAAAACCCGATATTTAATTATTTTTTCCTCCACAGAAATGAACTTAATGCCACTCCTGTAAAAATTCTGAGTCAATTTTCCGTGAAATTTCCTTTCTAACACTTGGAACAAATTTTTTGGCTAAAATAAAAACTTCCGATTTAAATTCAATTATTTTATGAACATTAATAGAAATCAGTAAATTCCTGAATTTTCCATGAATTTTTTCTGACGCTCAGAAATGTGAAATTGCAACGACTTTTTCGAGAAATTAAAAATTAAAAATTTAAATTAAAAATTTAAAATTTTATTGTTCTCAAGGGATTAAAAACGTGACACTCTTCATTCATTTGTTTATTAAATAACCTAATTAGCATTAAACCAAAGTTACGAAGAATTAAAAGAAACATTTACATTTAACCTTCCTAATTTAATAAAACAAACAATAATTATTTTGCACTCCAATTAAAACCATGAGAATCCTCTCAATAGACATAAATAGGTATTCAAATCGCCGCACCCATTGAAAACCAATTAGACCCGTGTATGTTTTTCAGAGATGTGCATCAGTCCACAGATGACATTGTTGACGAGATGATTGGATGTGGCCGGTGGCAGCTCTTGATAACTCTTCTTCTGAGTTTCTGTACCCTCAATCACACGTTGAACACTGGTACCGAGGCACTGATGCGTCCAGACGGTTGGTGGTGCAAAAAGCCACATTTTCTTCATCACTGGACTGATGTACAGTGGATACTGTACAGTCACAGCATCGAATCAGTGAGTAATAATCTCCGGTATCTCATTATTTTCGATTAAATTCCCATTAAATGCGCATTCTTCATTCTGACACAGTGTGTTGGTGTGTGCAATCGTAAACTCTGGGATCAGCAGTTTCTGGCTGATGGTTATTTTCAAGGTTGCAGTGTTTATGACATTGATTACAGAGTATTGATTAATTTGAGTTATGTTGAGAGGCCGACGATCGATACTGTTAAAACTGTGGCTTGCCCTTATGGAATTTATTACAGCAATATTGGCGGCCAGAATTTGGCTGAGAAGGTAATTCTCGAAGGCTAATGTACCAACTCCGGTTGAAAAATCACTGATCACTTAATTTTCCCTACTTTCATAATCGACAATCACTTCAAAAGAATTTTGACATACTTTGTCAGTCAGCAATCATAAGTGAAAATTTAAGTGACGGTATCGTAATTTTTCACAGGAGATTCAGATAAAAATTACGGAAAAGATATGTAATTTTTATTGAGTATTTCTCTCCATGAAGAAACTTACAATTATTTGCGCAATCAATATTCACATTAAATCAATTTACCATTACTCATTAAGTTTCCAATTCAAGAATTGGAGTTACCGATTCACTCCTTATTCATGAATGATTCTCATAATATTACGAAAAGTAATGACTACCGTCCACCCCTGACGACTCGCGGTAATTCTCCTAGTTCAACCGAGGATGTGATAATGGCGAAATAGTGTCACGCCTCTGGCAGTCGTCCAGCACATTCGGAAGAATAGTAGGCTACATTGTTATGGGCACCCTGGGTGACTGGATCGGTCGGAAAACCGTTCTCTTCATCTCCTGCGGAGTAGCTCCAATTACAGCTGTTATGGTTGCAACCTCAACCCATCACATCCTCTTCATCCTATCGAGTGTCATTAATGGCTTCTTCGACGGTGGCTTTTCAGTTTGTCTGTTGCTTATTCTCGAAATCAGCAGTAATCTCCGAAGATCGGAGTTGTTGCTGATTGTTTGCTGCTGCTTCGGTCTGGGAATAGGTAACAAATGAGTGAAAGAATGATGTGATTTGGTCTTTATCTCCGAATTCTTCAGGAATTCTGCCAACATTCACGAATTTCTTCAAGTCCCATGACCTGATGATGGTGTCCACCCACACCTTCTTCATCCTAATGTTCCCGTTCATCAGGATAATCCCGGAGTCTCCTGCGTGGATGTTCTGTACGAGAAGACTGAATCAATTAAACAAGACGATTAAGGCAGCATCAGGAATGAACGGATCTCCTGTCCCTGCGGGAGTCCTCACCTACTGCAACAACAAGAACCTTCAGCTGGCCAAGAGGAGACCCCAGCTCTGGCACGTCTTCCTAGAGCCGGAGACCGCTTGCGAGATGATCGGCATCGGCTACCTGACAGCCCTCTTCGCCCTGATCTTCGGATCCTCTTACTACTCGATCCTGGCGCATGTCACCAAATCCCAACTAGCTAACTCCCTTCTGGCAGCTGCGACCATGGGAGGCATGCTCTGCGGACAGTTTTGCATGGTTCTCATGGGACACAAGAAGATCCTCCAGATTGCTATCGTCCTTGTGCTAGTCAGCTCCTTCATGCTGATTATCGATCTTCATAATCTGAAGCCATCCAACACTGGACCAACTACTACATTGCTGCTGGTTAATGTGGCTGTCGTCAGCCTTAGCTACGGAGTTTTGTTGAATTATAATTCTAGGACTGTGCCGACTCTACTGAGGTAAGTTGATGATCATCTGGTTTGTTTCCAACTGCGAAGTAGTCTTGACGTTGTTTTCACCGAAAATCGATCCGACAAACCTTATTTTTGATAAACTTGATAAACTTTTTATAGCTTTACACTTTACACTTTATATGGCCAATAAATGTCATCTGGTTGTGAAGTAGTGAAAGCTCACGGCAGAACAATTCTTCAAAAAGTTTTGAGAAGGAATATCTTCCGACATTTTCCCCTGAAAGCAGTCGTTCCTTGGACGAACGCAAAGTTAATGATCGAGCTAAATTCGTCTCGGTGATTAATTAATGAAAGAAAAGTATGTTTTTCTCAGGGGAACGCTGTCCGGAATCTGGAGGAGCATCTGGGCCCTCTTCGTCTGGACAGGCAATCACGACTACGTAAAATTCCCAACAATGGCAATATCCCTGATAATGACCTGTGTTCTAGCTGGATTATTCAGTCTAAACCTCAAAGATTTATACTACCGTGAATTACCAGATACAATCGAGGATTCAATTTACTTTAAAATGTAAATCCAAAATTTCCGGAAATCCCGAGGCCCCCTCGCTCAATCTTTTATTAATGGACATTGAATTATTGATAGAAAATCCAAACCAAAACGCTGGATGGTGGAGGAGAATGGAGAAGTTATTGATGACGAGGGGAAGAATCGGGGGAACAATGTCAGTATCTTTAAAAAATTCAGGAGGAATTCTATTCAACCTAAAATCATTGATTCCTAAATGCTAAATCATGCATTGTGTAACCATGCGAATATGGCTGAATAGTTTTAATAAAAAAGGAGTAAAATGGATTGTAAAAATGGGGGGAGAATTTTTTTTTTTTGGGGGGGACTATTGGAGCTTCTCTCCTGTGGAATTTTTATTCCAGACTCGGCAACACCGCGCGCCCAATCGATTTACATAGACACACACAGAGGGGGCTGGAGGCAGTGTATTGCACACCTTCTGGCCAAAGACCACCACCAGACTACCGTTTTTTCACGCTCTTACAGATTCTTCTCTTTTTGGATTATTTATTCTATCCTTTTTTATTCGTTTTCCTGCTTTATGGCGATAATGGAATAGATAGTCTTTGATTTGTTCCTTTGTTTCACCACTGTGGGAGAGTGTTTTCAGAGATTATGAAGAATTTTTTCGTGATGTTGGTTGGAGGATTCCCGATCGGCTATTCTGAAAAATATCGAATCGGTTTTTTTTGTTTGAGGAAAATTCAGTCTTCTATTCCAGTTCTTCATTTCTAATCCCCCAAATCAACCTACAAAATACTTTTTACTTTCGTTCTCTTTCCTGTAAATCATTCTTTTTTCATTCAAGATCCAAAAAATCGAATGATTCACGGATGAATTCACCACAAAAGAATTAATATTTTTTATTTTTAGTCACTAGGTTTGGGCGCGGGCTTTCGCGCGCTTATCTATTCGTTGTGAAAATGAAGAAATTGAATTTATTAAACTTCATATACTCGTAGATGTTTTATAGATATTGATAATGACTTGAATTTATGTATGAAAATCTGAGAAGCAAGAATCGATCATTTCTGCGTATGATAAATATGAAAAAATTAAAATTTGTGAAGTGAAGAATCATTTGTGAATTAAAAAAATGTTGAAATACTGTTTTTTTCCTCATGATCAACAATTAGGCAATTTAGATGTTTTTATATAAAGATAAACTTCACACATGAAAAAATGATAAATATGACGCAGAAAACATTTTTGGCATTTGAAGAATTTGAAAATACCGGGGATTTTTTCAGCGACTATTTCACGTGACTCATTGACCAATCAGAATTGAGAATTGGCGGTCAGGCAGTTTCGAGATATTTCGATATAAAACAACTTCACGTTTCTTTCGTCTTTAGTAAATAAGAAGATTTTCAATACAGACAGTCACATTACATGTCGAGGACTATTACATAAACATCTCAATAAACAGATATGGATAAAACAAGCGTTCGGTGGACCTAAAAAAACTTTACAAATTTTGCACAAGGAATTGCGAAAGGAATTAATGTTGTCAACGGCAAAAGTCTCTAGGACAGCCCCTCCCGCGACCCCATAATTTATGTGTCAAACTTTTCGCGTGATTTATCCCGAGAAATTACACTCGTAAACGACGCTAAAGCGATCAGATATGAACAACAAACCGAGTAGACAGACGATTTACGAGGGTTTCACTAGATTTTTCAGCCCTTCCCCCCGAATCGCCCATTAACCTTGACAAACGTTTCGAATTCCCAAAAATTTAATTCTCCAATATTCCGGGAATGAAACAGTTACGTAAGACAATACTAACTCAAGTCCTCCCTTGAGATAGCGGGTGTCTTCCCCCGGGCATATTTTCACAGTTGATCAGACTCGGTTATACACACAAACCGAAGTGAAACAGGTGGCACCTGCCGTCGGATCCAATTCCTCCTAAGGATGCTGACGATAGAGATCATCGGAGGGAGGGAAACACGAGAGATTTCAACCGCATACCCCGAAAGAGGGAACGAAAAACCGTCAGAGGTTACAAACAAAAATAAAAAAATGGAAAACGAACGTTGGAAGGTGCACGAGCCGGTGGAAACAGGTGGCCAACACTGTGGAGGCGCCCGTTGGTGCGCTCGAGGGTGAAACTATACTTGAAAAGTCGAATCTTTTGGCCGAGTAAGAGGGGGAATCCCCTGCTTGCCACCTGACGGCATCTCGTGCCCGGAACTCGAGACACAGTCGGCTTGAGATTCGGTTGGTGAGTATTTTCAAGTTCTGGGATTGTTACGCTGGTCTTTATGAACGAGTGGGTAAAACGTGACGTTTTTAATTGTTCATAGCTGTGTTTCGAGGTTTTTTGGGGAATTTTCGACATTAAAATTGACTTAAAGAGAAAAAAAAGGTTTTTTTTTAATTCACTGGAATTTAATATTTTTTAGCGGCATGAAGAGTGAAATTTCTCAATTTACTTGAAATTTCAAACAAAACATAAATATTATGGACCCAATTACGATGCATTTTCAGTTAATCTACTAAATTATGAATTTTGAATTATGTAATTCATTGAAATTTCAGTGGAATTCACAAATTTAAATGGTCCTCCCTCAAACATTGGGTTTCTAACGAAAAAAATTATACTTCGTCTTCCATTTTTTCTTATTTCAGATTAGAAATCTTGAAATATAATTTTGCTCTCCACACGGAGAGAAATGTTCCGTAAAAATTATGGAACGCTCTCGAAAAATTCCGTGACAGTTCCGTAAAATTTCCTACAAGCGCACTTCGCTCTGGAATTATTCAGATTAAACCCTAATTTTTCATGTGAATTATTTCCTTGTTTTCAAATCAGACCTGATTTATACCAATCGCATCAATTCATCAAGCAATATTGACGTTTAGAAAAGGTCCGTTTTACTCCACTTCCTAACCCCCGTATTTGGTGAAAGGGCTTCGAAACAAGGGACTGACCGCAAAAAATAGAATTCCTATTTGGAATTACAGGGGTTTGGAGGATAATTTTAACGAGATGCGGAAGGGTCGACTTTCGGATGAACCACGGATGCATGTGGTTGTTTTGTATTGCCTCGGTTGTGCATACACGTGCCGAGCACAATTACCAGGGATAGTCCGTTGTGATGAGCTCAGGGCACTTTGAGGGTATTTTGAATTAATTTGATTGATATTTTATGCACGCCAGGGATTAATGAACAATTTTTAATTGCGTGGAAAATCAATAATGCAGGATCTAGACTATTATAAATTGGTATCGAGTGAGTTTATTACGGTAATCCGATTTTACTTCATTAATTTCTTGTAAAATAATATCTCGGGATCGCTTTAGCAGTTAAATTCTGATGTGATTTATTCAGACGGATTAAACAGCATTTGGGGATTTACATATTAAATTTATTATTTATTTATTTATATTAAATTTATTTTTTAGAAATTTAATATATAAAAAAATTGTTTACATATTAAAAAATAAAAATAAACTAAATAAACTATAAATACTATAAATTAGTACTACAAATATTATAAAAACTCTTAATACTATAAATTCTGTTTTTTTTAAATTATTAAATTTATATTTTTTAGGAATTTAATATACAAATTTAAATTTCTAAAAAATTTGAGTAAAATATCGAGATAAAATTTTACAATAATTTTATCATTTAAATTCTGTAGTGAATGATGCATCCAGGCATTCTTGTTTTCATTTCCAACGGAGAAATTACCTATCATTTGGAGATATTCATTAAAAAAATCTCCCATAAAGTCTAGTTGACCCCCCCCCCCC